TGCCCCCCTCCATGTGGGATCCAGGCTTAGGATTGGCTTTGGTCTGCACACCAACCCCTGGCAGTGACTCTAAACATGAAGTCTTATCACTGCTACAGCCAGATAGTTTATGAAAACGCTGCTAACTTCAGACAGAGCAGTTAATTAGAAGAGCTTTAGCTAAAAAGTGAAATCATTGAGCAGAACCAGATCTGTTTACCCCAAACCAGGACAGATGTCCAAGTCCTATTTCCAGAAATGGTGGAAAGGCATTATCCACTGACAATATCATGTTTCCAGGGGAGCTAGATAATAAATGCAGAAACATCTATCAATCAGCCATTTTGTCTCAGCAGACCTTTGGGTTGTTGGTGTTCCTCCTGTGTCAGCAGTTTTAAACTTCCACAAAATCCTTTCCTTCTGCTTCCTCCCTTAGTGCTGTTGCTTTTTCAGTCTTTGAACAGGTGCATTACATATCTCCCTTTGCCCTTCAGGTTGTTTGGGCAGAGAGTTACAAAGTTGGCTGTGCAGTTCACTTCTGCAATACGGTGGAAAATTTTCCAGGACTCTTCAAAGCAGCACATTTTGTTTGTGACTATGGACCAGCGTAAGTTAGTGACAGCATTTCCGGTTTTGTTTTTTTTTTTTTTAAATATCATGTAACTGACCTGATATCAGATGCCAAAAATGATGGGAGCAGTTGCAACAAGTATCAGAAGAAGCTATATCCGCATGCTACCATTCTGAGGGAGAATTCCCCCAGCCATTGAGAACAGAAGCTGCTGGACATAGCTGGAGCTGCAGAAAATCCCTCTCTAAAAAAGCAGGCAAGCAGATCATAGCTGAGAGCACTCACCATAACCAAGATGGTGGAGTAAAATCTGTTTTGATTGCAGCTTCTGCAGGAAAAGTGGGGAAGGTGCAAGCTGTGTGGTTGAGAAAAATTACATCTTTCTATGATCCCACCTGAACTTCAACCAAGACATTTTAATTAAAGAAATAAAAGTAAGGCAGCAATCTAGTTTGTCTCATACCTTGCAATTTCTGGACTTACCTTTTACAAATTTGCTTTTAAAAAACAGGTGGGGTAGGTAATGAGGAACTAGAGGCCAATTTTTGCATGCTTGCACTGAGTGATACAGTAGTGCCTGAGAAGCCACATTCATTTCAAGTGGCAAGAGTCACCATGTGACAGTGAGAACTAACGCTAACCCCCTCCACAACAGCTTTTCATGATTAATTATTCCCACAGTCTGATGAAACCATGTGTTTAAATTGCTTTTCAAACATCTGAGCTAACAAAATACTATTGTTTTGCTTTGCAGGGGGAATTACCCAAGAAAACCGTATAAAGCAGGACAGCCATGCAGTGGATGCAGTAATGAGAAGTGCATAGACAAACTTTGTGGTAAGAACAAAGTGATCAGCTAAGAAAATGGAATAGAAATTAAAGTGGCATAATTATCAGTGGAAATAAAAGGAGTAAATTTGCACTAAGTACACAGTGGGTCCATAACCGGCCATACGGCAACAGCATCAAACTCTAGTGAGAATAGTCTAAGAAGGAATTGAAATAGTTGCCTGTTGAAGTGTCTCAGAGGTAGAAGCCAGAGTTTATGGGGAGAAGTATCAGTTAGACTACTTTCCACCTTTTGTTTGATCAGGAAGTCAAATACTAAAACTTTAGCCCAACAAATATTCCCCATCTGGTTCTTCTTTCCTATGACAAATAGTATATTTAACTTCAGCTTTCTTGCTTGTTTAGCATGTCCTATCAAATTCTCCAGACAACCATAGTTCTGAAACCATAATAAGACTATACTGAAAAGTACACTTCTAACTTCCACAATTTTCTGAAACACATCAGTGAGAGCTTGCTTTTCCACAGCAGTTTGTGGTTGTGGACCTTTACGACATTACACTTAGTCCCAAACTAGTCAGAAATAGTGTTTTAAATAAACAGAGATTAAAGGACATACACCAATGTCTTAAATATTAATTTTATAGAGAGGTTTAATGGGGATGGTCTCTACTATGCAGGATCTACATAGCTTCAGCTGTGGAAATAATTAAGCATTTGGTACCTTTATTTCCTTCTGTGATACCCTGGCTAACTCATCTTGAAATCTCAGAGTGATGTATCACAGAAAAACTATAAACATCTAAAAGACTAGGGGGAGGAAGAGGAGGAAGAGAGCTTTTAAAATTAAAGTGCTAGATCCCAAAACTCATTTTACCATATTCTCCGATAGTGCAAATCAGCAATTCCAGTGGGATGCAGGTAGGCAATCCTGCAAGTACCTCAAAGCTCTTAGTAAATGTGCACTTCTGTGATAAATTCAGCAGATTTATCTAGCTGCTCCCACCTCCCCCTGACAAAAATTCTTCCTAATCTCCTTCTTTTTTGCTTCTCTTTCAATTCAGTAAAAAATATGAGCCCCACACCAGTTGGAAACCTCCTGTTACTGGCCTGATTCCCCCTTGCAGGATGTTTTAGACACTGACTGGCATTGTCAGTGCCATCAGCCAGGCACTAGCAATGACTTACTTCTTTACTTTAAGAACCACCACTGAATGATACTACATTTATTTCATCTTCTGATCTCTTTACAGAAAATACAGAACGTGAAAAGTTGATAAGTACGTTCCAAATTGTTCTTAATTGCTTTCCTACAAAGTATGGCTAAGTTTGGTGAGTGTTAATACCTGTTTCTTCACTGTTGTTTAGATTATGCCTATTGGTATCCGGACTGGGATACACGGCCCCAGCCAGCGTGGCCCCGGCCCCCCAGGCCCCCCACACCACCGTACATCCCACCCGTTGAGCATCCGCGCCCCTCGTGTGACCAATACTGTCTCAGTGTTTCGATTTTAAGGCCACTATTTTTGGTATTGAGTACTGGTGCTGTTCTTTTAGTACAGCAGTTGTTTCCACACAGGTTTTTTTATGTGTGATGATCATAGAAAAGGCATTTAATTCAAAGCAAGATGCAAGTGGCTGTGCATAGAGATAATATAATTTTTGGCAGTAGCTGCAACACAATTCTGTGCCTGTGTGAGCCTCTTAGCTCTGGCTCAGGAGTAGATTGCTAGAGGGACCACATAGACTATATATTACTATATATGCCATGAAGCCTCCTGGAAACCTGGGGCACAACAAAAACATGTCTAAAGTGCCACACTGTATCCAAAAGAAAAAATAACTCATCTCCATTAACCCTCAATTATCCCAGACATCTTTTTCCCCAGGTAATGGTGATTTAATTATATGTATTTCTTTTTTTGAACAGAACGAATAAAACTTATGCTTTACTATTTTTAGCCTGTGTGTATCAGTCTCCATCAAAGTTACTCTACTGTCAGTTGTATTATCCTGTTCTCCTCTCAGAGTTAATCTTTGTCCTCCATAGCTAGAGCAGTACCAAGGAAATTTGGCAAAGCAAGGATTAAGATGGGGTGTCAAAGGGGAAAGCGTAATTTTAGGATGTGAGATGGTGACAAAAATCTGAAATGGAGTCGATGACAGCCATGCTGAGTTCACAGGCAGAGGAAGGGAGGGAGCAGGGAGGAGAAACAGGAGAGGGAAGATGAAATTGGCCCAGGGTAGATTCTGGTTCACAAATGGAAGCTCTCAGCCCAAACCATTGATGGGTTCAGTTTATTCTTAGAGACGTTTAGCCCTTGTTCCCTTGGTAAGGGAAACAAACCCATCTTTCAAGTTGAGATAGTGGCTGATATTAGCAATACGCAACTGTGATATCAATATTTAAAGCAGTTTCTCCTCCTTTATCTTAGCCCTGATGCTCTGAGAACACAGTGACTCAAAATCTGAGGCTCAAAATCTGAGGCACATTGCAGCTCTGAAGCAGTATAGCATCCCACAGAATAAAAATGTCATATGTTGTCATATGCTTCAGAATGTCACCATTTAAGAAGATACATGTTTAATATCACAACTGTCAGTTCTTGTCGGCTGCTATTTTTTATATGTAACAACAGCGAGTAGTAGGCTGGGGGTGGGCAGGTGGCTGGTAGGGGACACAGCTGGGACAGCTGACCTGAACGGACTAGAGGGATAGTCTATGTCATATAACATTATGTTCATTAAAGACAAAAACAAAAACAAACCAAACCAACAAACAAACAAACAAACAAACAAAATCAGGTAGAGAAAGAAGACGGGTGAGGGCGTGGCTTCCAGGGTGGCCACCATTGCTCAGAGACTCTCTTGGTATCACTCTGCCATTGGGGATGGTGAGTGTTTGCCTTTGCATCACTTTGGGGGGTTGTTTGTTTTTTCTCCCACCTCCTGTTTGCACACATTAAATTGTCTTTATCCTGATCCATGAATTTTCTCACTTTTCTTCCTGCTTTCTCCTCCCATCCTGCTGGGGATGGGGGAGTGAGTGAGTGGCTTTGTGGGTGCTTGGCTGATGGCAGGGCTCAACCCACCACACTATTCTGCTCTAAAAAGTGATCTGTAGAGGAGTTGTGCACATAGTGTTTCTCATCCATGGTTCCCTCAGAAGGCCTTTTTGCCTGTAAGCAATCTCCCCATGAATGGCTGGAAGTGTGTGACCCACAGGATCTAATGTGTGCTAGTGGGGCTGCTGTTGCAAGCTCACAGTATGACCCTGAACCACCAGCCTGAAGGTGTGGCCTTCCCACCAGCCCCGACACCTACAGGACTGCATGTGTAGAACCTACACCCAGGTGTTCAAAGGATGCAGATTTCTAAAATGAAATCTGGAGTGGGAAGAAACCCAACCTCATTCCCAGATATGTCCAGGCTGGGACTGTGGAAAAGTGCCTGAGCTTGTTGGACAGGTGATAATTAAGGGCACTGTGAGGAAGAGGTGGTGATGGTGGTAGGTATGAGCAGGAAGTGTTGGGCACCCAAGGAAATGTGCGTGGGACGTGAGCTCCTAAATTGCAGATGTGAAACCCCATTGTGGGTACAGCAACAGCTTTAACAGCACCCAACTCTGCTGCAGGAGCTGAACTGCAGATTACGAGGAGAAATTGGTATCAACACATAGCACAAGCGTGTGATGCTAGGAGAAACCCATCAATAACTGCAGCAAATTTAAATTGCAGTTCTCAGACAAACTTACCCCTCCAATAACATGTACAACCAAAGTTCATACCATAGTAGAAGTCATAGTTCAAATGAATTATTTCTTACAGCATTTTGGTTCAGAGTAACAGCCTTAACAGCAATATTATTTTCATGAAAAGCAGAAAATTTATCCAAAACTTCACTGCAATCCATAGTGACTGCTATGGATGGGATGCTGGGGGCCGAAGAAACAAAGCCAAAGAAGCCCAAAGGACGGGAGAAAAGAACCTTGCCTGTTACAATTAAAGAAAGGAAAAAAAAAAAAAAAAAAAAAAAAAAAAAAAAAAAAAGAAGAAGAGAGACAAAGCTACCACAGCTCTGGTGTGAATATGTAGCTCAGTTTCCTTATTCTCATAGCAACGCTCCTGAAATATGACTCATTTCCTGTGACCAATGCCATACTCAATTACCATGGCTTAGATAAGTCCAGCCCACAAGTCTTCGAAACATAATGCTGCTGGTGGAGACAAAACCACTTGTACAGCTGAAACACTCTTAAGACTGGAAGACGAGAGGCTGGGAATCATGACAAGCAGATTTTCTGCTTGTATGCTGGCTTTGCTGCACTTCTTTCGTTCCTCTGACTCCTATGAACCAGCGACATTGCCTGATATTGGAGATCCAAAATTTATCGAGGAATGTGTGCAAATGCATAACAGATTCCGGTCTGGAGTGAATCCACCAGCCAGCAACATGCTCTACATGGTAAGGGGATCTTCATGACTTATGTGCAAGTGTGTAGCATTTTGGTGGTGTTTATAATTCTCAAAGATTACTGTTGTGATCAAATGCAAAACAGAAAAAAAGAAAAAAACAAAGCAAACAGCCTCCTGGGGTCATAAGAGCTAATTCTTTTTACAGCAGAGAAAAAGGCTCTGATTATCAGATGGCTTTACAGGATTGGGTATGTGTATAGTTCTGCTTGGCTTAACTTCCTCGTTTGAAACCCAAGATTTCAACCCCCAACCTAACGCTGTCGTTTTGTACTGTGAAAAGCCTCCTCGTTCCAGGGCACCGCAGCCCAACAGCCCGGGGTGTAATTTATGTGCAGACCTAAGCACAGCCTTTCATACTTGAGTCGGCAAGGGCAGAGACCGTTGCCAAACGACGTTGGAGAGCTTTCTCTAAGCTTTCTTTGCAAGGCTCTCACAGACTGAGCCAAGAAAGCAGTTGTTCCTAGGTGCTGAGGCTGCAGGGGAAGCCAACAAAGCAACAAGTGCAGCAGGAGCAAGAGCTGCAGGCATCAGGCCCTGCACTGCTTTGTCCCTCTGCATCAAGAGGCAGTATCTGCGTTCACCATGAAGAAGACAGACTGTAATGATTCAAAGCATACCCAAAAGTGTCCACCCCTCATTGCATACAGCTTGCGACACTTGTCACCCTGCTGGGTGGCACATTGAGAACCAAGCTGGGCTTATGGCTAAGAAGCTCCTTTCTGATTTGTGAGATGTTCAATTCCAGTAGCTTGGGAGCTGTCTCTTGCAACATCCACCACATTTTGTGCTTTGACTGGGTAATACTTGAGATACCATGTTTCTTCTTGGGATAATCTCCACAGATCTCTCAGATGGACCATAGAGATTGTCTTAATTCTGCTCTCTTTCCTTTTTCCCCTCTCTCTTGCTCCTTTGCATGGTCACCACCAGAAGAGTAGATAATCATGTTTGTAATTAGCAACACCTCAAGCAAAGTTCACCCCTGAAAAAGTTCATTTTCCATTTTGGGTTGTCAGACACTGAAGAAGAAGTGCCTGTTAGGGAGGGGTAGGTGAGCAGTGAGCAAATTCACCTCACAGAAACAATTTTTTTTCTTTTCTGGATGTTTCTTTCACTTAGTTTTCTTTAGCCAGGCATCCTGAAGTTCCAGTATTAATTGCTCCAGACTCTGTTTTCTAGATTGCTTTACTGGCCCTACACTAAGAAAATCTTGCTATGATGTAGTAAAAGAGCAGTATTCATCTTTTGAAATTGTACCTCATTTTTCCTTTTGAAAAATGGAATAACTGAAATCTGAGAAAAAAATAATAAAAAAAGCAGCTTAACAAACAAACCAACCAACCAAATAAAGATTATTACAATTAAAACAAGAACTAAATCATGGTAAGTTTGTTTTAGAACATTACAAAAAAAACTAGTCTTAAGTATGAACTCTCCCAGGAAGTATTTAAAGTAGAGAAAGTGGAACAATACATGACAAAATCTGTTAATGAAAGTAAAAGCACTGAAATTGAAAACAGCATGTGTCTTCATTTTTGAATGGCTTTTAGCACGTCAAAAATGAGGAAAAGAAGATGATCTTTATTGAACAGGTAGCTTCTATTTTCTGTAGGTAACTGGAGAGTTTAGATATGTAAAACTGACAATTATGAATGAACTCAGGGCATATCCACCTATTCAAAAATTAGTTTCTAAAGGAAAATACAGGACAGAAACTCCTTTAACTGCAAATAACAAAGTCAAATAATCTATATTTGTATTAAATATATTATAAAAGGATAATGCTGATCTAATATTGTTTTTCCTGACAAATGTGACCCCTGCCCTATTCACCCAAGTAATTGCTTAGGTCTGTTCCAAGGCTCTTCAAAACCAGCAGAAAGAGTCTCATAGGTTTCATTAGAGTTTCACAACAGCCTCCTTTGACTTACTGCTGCTTCGCATCACTTTTCACTTATCATATGTTTAATTTTCTCTCCCTAAATCAGCAAGCAACTGATCTGAGTATCTGAGTTACAAAAGCAAAATAGAGAAACAGTTAATGGGGAAAAAATATTGTAATTACTATTTTATTAAACAGCAATGATATCTGTATGCAAACCTCCCTGTCCTGTGCATTTCCTCCCATGCAGTTTAGTCTGATCTTTTTTTCATAAATGCAGTTTCATAAGCAAATAAGGGGTATAATTATAGTTAAACTAAGGATCATTTTGATGTATCCGTTTCTGCACATTGCTTTTTCAACTGTCAGCCAGTTTAAGCAGTCACAAAAAAAAGGAAAGTACCTTTAAACTTATTAATTTACCCCTAAACTTATGTATCCCTTTATGGAACTTTAAACTTATTAAAATACTATTATAGGATGAAGGGGAAAAGAGATGTGCACACCTTGGCACATTCTTAAAAAGCAGAATGTGAAAAACAAGAGCGTGGAAAAACTAAGATGCATCCAGCACTGTCATACATCTTTCTTCACAGTCTTCTCTTTACAGTCTTGGAGCATTGCCAAGATGTAAACTGCAGCCTGTCTTAACCTGCAGTAATGGAAGGACTGGAAGATAATTTCTGTACCATGTGAGGTTTTGTTCATTGTCCTTAAAAGTTATTATCTAAGGAAATAGCAACTGCTTGCTTGAAATAAATCCCTGTCCCAAGTTTACCTTTAATATTCAGTATACTGAGTTCCTAGGTAAATTATCTATGTTAATTTTGTGAGTGTATTGGATTTGCATGGCAAGGCTTTGATAGCAGGGGGGGTACAGGGTTGGATTCTGTGACAAGCCGCTGAAGCTTCCTCCATGTCCAATGAAGCCAACGTCAGACGGCAGACAGAAGTACAAATAAAAAAAAAAAAAAGTTCATTTTTTGAAAAAGCCCAATAGCCCAATCCAAAACAGCTCAGCAGTGCTGAACAACTTCATTTACATGATACAACGTGTAACTAGAACTACAGGCATAAACTCGTGATAGTGCATTTTCCAGGAGATACAATACTCTATTTGCTCAATCGAGCTGTGTGCACGAGAAAACCCAGCAAAGCCAGACACCTCCTCCAGTGCAAACAAAAGACATTTATATGACTCAGTTGTTTATAGATCCACTTTTTGTAGTGTTGAATAGCAAGTAAATGAATGATTACACAGAAATGAATTCACTAACATTTGAAGACACCTAACACAAAGATGCAAACGAAGGGGATGCATGTAAATTGTCCTAAAAATCCCAATGTGCTTGTGAAATGATCAATCAGTGACCATAATGCATGATGCTTCAGGATAGACTGCAGTCTGATTGGCACAGTGAGCAAAACCCCCAGTCTCCAGATTTCCAGTAAATTCAGTTTAAATTACATTACTGTTTTCTCATGGCTGGTATAGCCTGGAAATGTACATTGTGCCCCAAACACTGTATTTGACTGATGTACCACTCTTGGTGTCCAACAAACCACTCAGCCAAGATCATCCACCACCCTGAAGTTTAATGAGTAACTAAATTCAAATCAGAAATGAACCTACAAGCCGATTTACCATGTAGCTCTGTAAGTCTC